TGATTCATCTGTCTCAGTGAGTTCTTCACTTCAAGGTAGGTGACTTTATGCCGAAGGGCTCTTGATCTAAAAAAATTAGAGCTACCATGGCTTCAGTTTGTCCCCCATCCCCCCAGGTGCTTTATAATCCGTATGGGTTTAGGGCTCCTAGAAGACAGGTCAGGTGAAGAGGCGAGGAAAGCGCTAGAACTAAGTAAAGTTAGTAGTAGTAGTGCGATACTTGTACTTACTAGTGATGAGCTTGACTGGTCCGTCTGGCTTGTACTTGATGTGTGTGTGTTGTGAGGCGACGCCGAAGCCAGCACTCACCTTGAAGACAGGCAGGTCATCCAGAGGGATCACCGTTGACGATACTGGCACCAGTACTGTGCCACCAGACAAACATTAACCATCATTATTATGTATTTGTTATTGTTTTTGTTTCTTCTTTATTATAATTATTTGTTAATTTTATATTTAATTCTCTTGAGGTAGTTACAAAAATTATATTGGAGGTCCCGAGGGAAGTCAAACACCTCCTGGGGAATGGGAGGTAATCAGGCTTAATCCATATTCAAAATATAATACAAAGGATTCATTGATTTTGATTATTCAAACATCGTTTATTCTTTGACTAAACTCGGACAAATAAACTTTTTTTTTTTTTCTGGTTAACTGCCTCTGGTTAAGATCAAGTAAACATTATTATGGTTCACTACACATGGTATTTAGAGTTGAACAATAATTACAAAATACACATTAACATTTGTGACTTAATTCCGGTGGGGTTACTATACAGAAGTAGTAGATTGCTTTATACTCTTGAAGGTTTCTTGATTCTTAAGGCACCCCTCTTGAAGGACTCTTGATCTTTAAGGCACCCCTCTTGAAGGACTCTTGATCTTTAAGACAGCTCTCTAAGGACTTGAAAAGTATAAAATGCAGGACGCATTTTGTAGAAGTGGAGGTGTTTTGTAAGGAGATGAGAATTCCTGACGCAGATCTTGATGGTTCTCTCAGGTGAGCTTTTCGTCACATGATCGAGGCCATCGACAGACATTTTGGTCCATCTAATAAAAGTTTAAGATTGCATCATGATGTGATGGGCTCACCTTGTTGATATTTGTGTGTGTCAGATTTCTCGTACATCTTCATGGGTCCAGCAGCAGCCAGACTTACCAACGCCAATACTAGTACAGCCCGCGCCATCTGTGGGGAGGAAAATGAATAGCTGCTGAGCACCGAAGAGAGTGAACAATTGTTGATCGTCATCTGTTGACAAAGATGATTTAGTGATCATTCCCACATGTTAAGGAAAATGAAAGAATCTGCTTACCAGTTACAATGGCTTTACTCTCACTGGGACTCGCACATCTAGCTTTTTTTAATACACAGGATCGGGCCCGTAGGATCTCAATAAAAAAAAAAAAATAATGTAGATATAAAGTAGAACACTAGAAGTGCTTCATGACTGACGTCTTGCAAATAATGTCAAAATACGATCATAATGTCTAATTCATCACTTGTTGTAACTGATATAGTGGAGAGAAACACTGATGTTCCATAGCTCGATTGAAAGCGCACTCAGGTCATACACTGAGGTCCGTGGTTTGATCCCCGGTGCAGGCGGAAACATTATGACGTGTTTCTTTAAGATACCTACTGTCCCTTATCACCTAGCAGTAAATAGGTACCCGAGTGTTAGCCTACTGGTATAGGTCGCATCCTGGGAACAAAACCTAATTTGCCCGAAATGTTCTGCATAACAAGTGGCTTTCTATATGGTATGTCACTGATGTCAGCTATGGTCTGTATAAGTTGTATCATGAACTTGTAGAAATGACATTTTTAAAAGATGGTAGCGTAATGGGAAAAGTTTTCACCAAGCAACTTTTTTAAGGGACACTCGAGACTAGGGGTCCCCCCAAGGGAAAGGTTCTTGGGCAGGTGAGGGGCTTTTTAAACTGGGGAAAACTGGGGACTTGCGCTCCCCTTTTTTAAAATCGAATTTGAACCCCCCAATTCCTTTGGGCGCTTTAGGGCCCCCTATAAGTTAGGGGTTTCCGGGGTAAAAAAAAAAATTAAATTTTTTTAAACAAGTCTAATATATGGGATTTCCCCGGGAGCCAGGGACAAATTTTCATACATAGTAACATTTATGAAAATTACCACTAGGAAAACCCCCAAAAAAGTCGGTGACTTTTTTCCCTTTGGGGGACGGGGGGATGGAGGGGAAGAGAGCAAAAAAAAAATGCGATATAGGAAAAGGGAAATTTTTTCACACCTAAATGTGGGGGGTTCTTAACTAAAAGTTCGGTTGGAAGGATGTGCCTTTGGCCTGGTAGGAAAAGCTCTCGCTTCCCCATGCTGAGGGGTCCGTGGTTCGTTTCCCGGGAAAAGGGTGGAATCAGGGGGCGTTTTTCCTAAAAACCTGTTGCCCTATTCCGCATCAGAAAAATAAGTATTTGGGGTATTGTCGGGGTTTTGGGGGGCCCCCATCCGGGGAAACAAAAAGCCCTAATTTCCCCCGAAATTTTTGGCAAAACCCAATCACCTTTCTTTTTAGTAGTACGTCAGTGATGTCAGCTAGGGTCATATCCCTTGGGTAATATATTGAAGAAATAAAGATACAAAGGACGGGAGGGAAAAAAAAAGTGAAGCCGGGAGAAAAACGATGATTTCCTGAGTGAGGGCAGGGGAACTCGCCCCCGGGAAATTAAAAACTAGGTGAGTTCATGGGGCAAAAACTACAAGGGTTGATTAAAAAAGGGATAGGCCCCTCCCCCCCCCCCACACACACCCCTTTTAAAAAAACCTGGTCACGTAAAAAAAAATTTTCCCAACTAGTCTTCCGTTCCCACTCAAATCCCATGTAGGTTTGGTACACCCTTAAAAAAAAACAAAACACACAAAACAAACAACAACACACACCACAACACACCCCACACACACCCCCCACAACCACAAACAACCCCCAACACCCACACACCCCCCAGGACGAATGAAGCCAAACTACAAAAAAGGGGACTACCCCAGGAATGAGGAACTACCTGAACGGGTTCAGGGGGACAGAGAAATGGCGGGGAACCCATTTTACGAGATGATGGAATATGTGCAACAAAATGCAAGGGGGGCTGAGGAGAGGGGTTTTTTACCAAGGGTTTCAGGATTAATGAAAAAGCCAGGATGAGCCCATGGGTTTTCCCAAAGGTGCGGGAGGCAAAAACCAAGTGTGCTAGGAAAGGAAAAAAATATTTGAAGGCAAAGGACCCAGGAGAATTTAAAGGGGAACCCGTCGTTTTTAGCCAGAAAAAACGAATATGCCAAAAATAAGGGAAGGGGGCCCAAAGACAATATGAAAAAAGACTTTGCAGCGAAAGGCCCCAAAATTGGGCCTGAAATGTTGTACAAACCAATCAGGAGGGAAAAACAGTCAAGGACAGGTAAACAGGCTAAGGAAAGGGAAAGGGGGAGAGAAAACAAGAAATGACCGTGGGAAATTTTGTGAAAAAAATAACAAGGATTCAAAGAAGGGGTTAAGAGGAAGGCAGAAGGGACTCCAAAAAAACGGGAGGGGGGGGCACACCCCAAGGTGGACACAGTGACAAACCCCAGGAAAAAGGAAGAGGTTCTGAAATGAGCTTTGTCCCCCAAAGGGGAAAGGGGGCCCGTAAAAATCTCCCATGGGTATTGAGAGAGGGGCAAAAGGCGGTATGTTTTACCCCTTAAAAAAACAAAATTCAATCATCTATCGAAACAGGGAGATTTCCTGAGGATGGAAGACAAACAAATGTAAAAACCCAAAATTTTTAAAAAAAGGGGACAGACTGAAAACATTAAAATAAAAGGGCCAGTGGCCCCTGGGAAAGTTTAGTATGCCAAAAACATGGGGGAAAATTATCAGGAGAAGAGTGGTGGAAAAACCTAGAAAGGAATGATCTCAAACAGAGCCAAAAAAGGTTTCAGGGACGGGGAAAACCTGTGTCAAAAAACCTAATGGAGTTTTTTTGGGCGGGGGCAGCAGTAAGCAAAAGGGGGGGTGGGTGGATTGCATTTTTTTTTGGGACGCAAGGGAAAGGGGTTTGACACAGTTCCCAAAAGATTGGTGCAAAAACCCGGGGGGGGACCAAGCGGGGGGAACAGGGAAGGCCCCTTTTAAAATGGGTAGGGGGAATACTTGGTCAGGGAAGAAGCAAAACGAGTCCCTGGTACGTGGCGGAAGGTTGGGAGAGTGGGCACCTGTGGGCCCGCGGGGTTTCCCCCAGGGGTCAGTCCCAGGACCCCCGCTGTTTTGGTAATTTGGGGAAAGAAAATGACGGAAGGAATAGATCTGAGGTTTTCCCCGTTTGCGATTTACGTGAAATTGATGAGAAGAATTTACTCGATCGAAGACCAGGGAGGGAAAATACAAAGGGGTCTGGGGCAGGCTGCGACCCGGGCCCGCAATTGGTCCTGGAGTTCAATTCCCCCCAAGTGCCAAAAATCATGAAAATTGGGGGAAAGGGGAAAGAAGGGGCCCCAGCGGGGGACAGTCAAGGGGGGCAGGCCCCACAAAACCCCACCCAAAGGGAAAAAAATTTGGGGTGAGTATAACACCCGGCACACTCCCGAAGCGCACAAAAACCAAAAAAACTGCTGCAGCATATGGGCGCCCGCAGCCCCCAGAAAAAGCATTCCCACTTTTAAAAGGAATCATTCAGGGCCTGTTTCACCATTTTATGTTAGGCCCCCTATTTTGGGGTATGCCCCGGGACCAGTTTGGGGAAACCCCCACCCAGCCAAAAACGTGAAGGAAAACTGAGAAAGTGCAAGGTTTGCCCCAAGATAGTCCCCGAAAACTAGGGTTTTGTCCCACGAGGAGAGGTTAAGGGAAAATCAAAACCCGGGGGGGGCACTGGGGAAGGAGGGGATAGGGGGGACATGTTAAAAGGGCTTCAAAAAAATGAGAGGTTGACAAGGGGGGGCAAAGACAGGTGGTTTCCCGAGATTGGCAAAGTAACAAGGGGGCCCCAGTTGGGGAAACTGAAGGGCCC